ATCTAGGCCAACGACATTATTAATATCGTTTTAGATTACTTATTTATTTTAATTACAAGATATATCATTTATATCTTTTCATTCCTGTAATAAAGTCCACCCAAATTATCTTCATTGTTCCTTGATATTCATGATCATCCAATAAGATAACATAAGATTGGAGATAAATAACATTAAAATTAGAGTAATATCAACAAGCAATTAAAAAAAGTCACCATTTTCATTGATTAAAATTCACAATACATATACCAATACATAATGAAACTACTATCACTACTACCCAGATTAGATTTCAGATTTACCAACTGAAACATCATCAAGTTTAGGGTTGCAAAAAATGATACATGATAAGATGAAGGGAGGAGTGAGAATGTGAGTGATTTGGGAGCAGAATCTTGAAGCAGAATCTTGAAGCAGCAGCCCAGCACCCAAGAGCAGAGGAAATAGCAGCAACAAGCAGGAACCAGCACACGCAATAACAGATCAGCAACTTATCCGAAGCAAGGAATAATATAAGCAGAAGGGACTCAGCAGGAACTTATTTTTGTTTTTCAAAATTGCTCTCAGATTTACGTTTCTCGTATCATCACTGAGCAATGGATGTTTTAACTTAAAACTTGAAAAATGCTGCCAGCAAGTACATATACATTGAAGTCTCAACATAAATGACAAGGGCAGCGATGATTCAAGAAAAATTAAAACAGCAAGCATAAGAAACAGCAGCAACAAAACTTATCATAAATTCATAACACAAAAGGCAGCAACACAGCACCTCAAGCTGGCAGGAGGCAGGAACCAGCTCATGCAGGCAACAATATAGGCAATAACAACTCAGCAGAGACAACAACCAAAAGGCAAAAGCACTACCAGCAGGCAGCAGCTCATAACAAGTTCAAGCAACTTCAAAATTATAGCTTTTGTTTTTTTAAAATTTCTCTCAGATTTACAAGTTGAAGTACCCGCTTTACCAGGTGCTTTATATTCTTTGCCACACAAATTACAACGAGCATAATCAACATTTTCATTACCTATCGTCTTTACAAAAAAAGTGTAATGCTTCCATATACCTGCGGTTCTTTGACGTTTATTAACAGAAGGATTGATAGTGCCAGTATTACTAGCATCATCAACCGAGACAGAGGCAGCTTGAGAGCTAACATTATCAAAATTTGATTGCCTCTCATAGTCAAATTCATCATACTCGCGAGACATGACTGAAACAAAAAAAAACAACATTTATAACTTATAAGTACCAAATTAAGTGACAGATTCTACTAATAGTGAGCAATTAAGCATGCATTGTCTCATGTGACTGACACTGAAGTCACGACAGTGAATCCTATTCACTCAATACCAAAATTCAACTAAATAGATAGTTCATATTTCAGAATTTTATTTGCACTAGTCAATGTTTCAAAATTCAGAATTATACAACAAACGTGATTACAACATATATCCTAACAGAATATAGAAAGTTATATACGATACAGTCACATATGTGTACATTTTAAGTACTAACTTTAAGCCAATCATATACAATGCTTGTATTCCAACAATATGGGTTAAAAATATAAAGCTAAAATCCCAATAAATAAACAATGCATGTATTCCAACAATAATAATCACATAATCTGAACAACCCATCATCATTACTTTTAAATCGAGCATAATAAACAACAAAACAACACAAATCTACCATTTTCCCGTAAAAAACAAAAATACAATCAACAACAGATTTTACTCATTTTAGGCATATTTCGACTATATTCAAGCAAGAACAACAACAATAATCAAATACAAAAACAGAAAAACTGTATTAAAAAAAAAAAAAAAAGGAAAAAGTAATTACCTTTGACAGCTTGAAGGAGATTTGAAGATGGAGAACTACCTGAACTGGAGATCAAAAGAAAAAATCAAGAATGTAGATTATCAGAACTTGAAATAAATTAAAAAACCGAAACGAAAACGAAAAAAATCGAATAAATTAACAAAAAAATTACCTTAGGGTTTGACGGCTTGAAGGAGAGGAAGATTTGAAATCAGAAATCAGAAATCAGAACTTAGATCCAAAACAAAAATGAAACGAAAACAAAAACCCTAAATAAACAAACCGAAACAAAAACGAAAAAAAATCAAAACGAAAACAACAAAAATTAACAAAAAAACGAGAATGTAAAGCGAGAAATCAGAAATGTAGATCCAAAACACAAATGAAACGAAAACAAAAACCCTAAATAAACAAACCGGAACAAAAACGAAAAAAATCAAAACGAAAACAACAAAAATTAACAAAAAAACGAGAATGTAAAGCTAGAAATCAGAAATGTAGATCCAAAACACAAATGAAACGAAATTGAGCTTGAGATTCTTGATAATTTCAGAACGAAAGAGTGAGAAACTGAGAAGTTAGAGAGAGAAACTATGACAGATTGTGAGATTGAGAGAGAAACGGCTGAATGAGTGAATGAGAATGGCTGAGAGAGTGAGAGTGGGTTTTTTTTTCTAGGTTTAGGTTTTACTTCAGTTGATCTAACCGTCCATATTCAATCTCAACATCTAAGTTAGATCTAACCGTTCATTTTTTTTTTGTAGATTCTAGAATATTCATCTAGATCTAACGGTCTAGATTTTCTTTGTGCTTTTCTAGGTCTTTTTGACCGTTTTTTTTTAATTATTTATTATTATTATTATTGTTAGTATATTATTTGTTAATATTATTATTACTACTAGTTTACTACTACTATTATTATAATATTATTATAATAATAATTATTATTATTACTATTATTATTATTATTATTATTATTATTATTATTATTATTATTATTATTATTATTAGTTTATTACTTATAAGTTATAAATTGTAAGAAACGCAAATGTTTCAAAATTGAAATTGATTCAATACGACATAGTTAATGACTTAATGAGTTAATGGCTTAATGCTCATCAATATGACAATATCTGACATCTGTGAGTCTGTGATTGTATATCAGTATATATAATAAACTATAAAACTAATAATAACTTAATAAGTAATAATACTAATAACTAATAAAGTAATGAAAATCTAACCATTGTTTTTCATGGGCATTCAATCTAACCGTTGTATATTTGACTATTCGTACATTAGTATTGCATAATGCTTTCATCACCACTTTAATTAGTGATTTCGTGATTTCGTCCATTTAACTTATTAAGTTATTTGAGTTAGTAATCTAAATAAAGTAACAAACTAAATAAAGAATCCATTTAATCTCGTGTAAGTTATAATTTATAAGAAATGCAATGTTTGGAAATGGAAATTGATTCAATACGATATTGTTAATGTATATGTAATTGTATTATTATGTATATGATGTATATCATATCGTACGAATGTACGGTTGGTATCATTATCATACTATCATAAGTATCATTGTCTCATTGAATTATTGGTATGTACTATAATCGATAAACATATTTAGTTATTTACATATCTGATCATTAAAACTTAAAAGTTTAAAACACTTGTTGATCAATCTAATTGAATACTTGTACATTCTTAATTATCGATTTATCGTATTATAAGTATCAACTCATTAAATCATGGTCATGATTTCGTGATTTCGTCCATTTAACTTTTTAAGTTGTTTGAGTTAGTAATCTAAATAAAGTAACAAACTAAATAACGAATCCATTTAATCTCGTGTAAGTTATAATTTATAAGAAATGCAATGTTTGGAAATGGAAATTGATTCAATACGATATTGTTAATGTATATGTAATTATAGATTAATTATTATGTATATCATATCGTACGAATGTATGGTTGGTATCATTATCATACTATCATAAGTATCATTGCCTCATTGAATTATTGGTATGTACTACAAATCTACAATCGATAAACATATTTACATATCTGATTATTAAAACTTAAAAGTTTAAAACACTTGTTGATCAATCTAATTGAATATTTGTACATTCTAATTATCGATTTATCGTATTATAAGTATCAACTCATTAAATCATGGTCATGACGCGATCTTTAAAACAATCATGAATTCAATTCATGACCCAAACCGCTTATAAACCGAACCGACATGATCCAAACCGTTCATAAACCGAACCAATTGAACTGTGTAAACCCTCTACTAAACCGGCCCATTTAAAACTGAACCGACATGATTCGCACCGTTTATAAACCGAACCGATATTGATCCGGGTAAATCCGCCCCTAAACCGACCCATTTCAAACCATACCGGCTTGATCCAAACCGTTTGTAAACCGAACTGACATTGACCCGGGTAAACCCGCCCCTTAAACCGACCCGTATCAAACCGAACCGACATAATCCGAATCGTTTATAAACCGACCCGCTTATGACCCAAACCGAATTTAAACCGCAAAGAAATAAACCGAAACCAAACCGAGCCGTGACTAACCCAAACCGAACCAAACCGACCCGCCAGCTAAACTAAACCGTTTCAATCCGAACCGCTCCAAACCGAAACCGACTCAAACCGAGGTCAAACCGAACTGCCAGACCGAAGTCCCACCCCTATTAATTAGTGATTTTTAACTACGGATTAGTGATCTTTGATTATTTATTGATTATTTATTACTATACATATGTGTATATACAAATGTACATATTATTATTATTATTATTATTATTAATTATTGATGATTATTATTTATTGATTATTATTATTATTATTGTTATTATTATTATTATTATTTATTAATGATTATTATTATTATTTATCGATTATTATTATTAGTATTATTATTGTTATTATTATTATTAGTATTTATTGATTATTATTAGTATTATTTATTATTATTGTTAATATTATTATTATTACTATTGTTGTTGTCGTTGTAATAAGAGCTTAATATCATTAGACGTAAATTAAAAGCTGAACTGAAATTAACTGAATTTCAACGGAAGAGAACACACCCTAAACCCTAAGTGAGTAACCCCAAAATTTGCGGAGTATTTAAAGGATAAAACATTTTCGATGATTGATTAACCAACGTCCAAGCCAAACTCGATGCTCTCATTTTCCCCTACTTTGATTCCAACTTCTCAACTACAATTTTCCTCTAAATTTTCCCTGATTTTGCAAATAAATTTTATCAATCTTCGCCTCTAAATCTAAACTACTTAATTGTAATTCCAATTTACTAACCCTAATTTATTGCTTTTTTTTTTGCTTGTGTATTTGTGTTTATTTTTTCTTCTAATTTGTTTGTTTCTCTGAATTTTTTCGCCATGAAAAGTAGTTCGCGTTCATCCAAAAGCAAGACGAAACGATCTCAGGTTCTCAATCTTATTGATTATTTTAATTTTTTTTGGATTGATTAATTTGTGAATTAAAGACATCAATGTTATGAATTTATAATTTCTGCTGTTTATTTGTTTGATTTAGGTTTTCTTGATATATATATTTAATTAATTATTCTGTACATATGTCTAATTATTGATAATTTATAATTTAAATTCGATTATTGGGTATTGTTGGTTTATTGCAAATTTGCAATATAGATGATATTGTTTATGAATTGGTGGTTCAATTTTGATGCTTATATATGTATGTGCAACGATTGCAATCTGAGCAGAAACATACCAAGAAGAGAACTAAGAGCAGTAGGGAGAAACCCAAGAAATTAAAACAACGGGATGATTCGGATTCGATTTCTGATGAGGATTCGATCACTACTAAGTCGGTATCGTGTTCGAGTCCAGGGGATTATTCTAGGAGTAAGAAGAGAGGTAGGTCTAGGGACAAAAGGCTTAGGAAAGATAAGAAAAGGAGTAAGAAAAGCACCTTGTTGAGTGAGAGCAGTGGAGATGACTCTCCTTGTGTTAAGAAATCGAAGAAGTTGAAGAGGAAGCGAGGTTCTGATTCTAGGAAGAAGCGGCATGTGAAGAGGCGAAAGAGGGATCGTAGTGTTAGTATTTCAAGTAGCCGGTCTAGGAGTTGCTCTGTGGGCAAACCAAGTGGTGATAGTGAGATTGGCAAGAAAGAAGAAAAGGTTGAATCGAAGGAACGAAAGGGGAGAGAAAAGGTTAGGAAAAAGATTGGGAGTAAGAGGAGTAGGCGCCGGTCTAGGAGTTGCTCCGTGGGCGAACCAAGTGGTGATAGTGAGAGAGAATTTGGGAAGATGGAAGAGAAGGTGGAATCAAAGGAACGAAAGGGGAGAGAAAAGGATAGGAAAAAGAGTGGGATTAAGAAGAGTAGGCGTAGGTCAAGAAGCTGCTCTCCATGTAGCGTGCATAGTGAGAGTAGTAGTCATTATAGTGAGGAGAGGGTGTTTGAGAAGAGTAATCCTAATAGATTGAAATCTGTTATAGTTGTTATGAAGGATAGAGAGGAGGTCCCTGAAAAACAAGAGTCGAATAAGTATGATAGGCATGAAGATGAAATTGTGTTCGAGTATGATGACTATCCTAGCAAGAGCAATGATAGTATTGATGGTGTTAGTGGAAGAGAAACTGTTTCATGTATGCATGATGTTAGTTCTAAGAAAAGGTCCTTGGATGAGCCAAATAAGGATTTTGTTGCTTCTGGTGTCAGGACTTCAGATATCCCGGGAATTCAAAGACAGGTTGTTGAGGGAAGTGGTGGATTAAGTCCAAGTTATGTCAGATCCAGGGACAATGTTCCCTTGATGGAAAATAGGAGTGCGAATTTAACTTCGAATGCAGGTTTAAATCATGTGGATCTTGAAGCAGTTTTAAGACAGAAGGCCTTGGAGAATCTACTCAACCGCCAAGGAAAATTATCAACCAAAACTACTTTTGATAAGAAAGATGAACATGATGTTGACGTGAAAAGGTCTTCAATTGTTAAGGCACAACCTATTGATCAACCTACACCTCGTGATGAGGGAAATATTAAACTTTTGCCAAAAGTAGGGAAAATTGTTAATGATGTTAGATATTTTAGTAATACTACTAATTTACCTGGTCCTTCGGAAGACACTGGTCTGTCTAAATATAATAATGCTGATCTATTGAGGGCAAAGGTTGGAACTGCTGATACAGAAGAAAAGAGTAAGGCCTCCGGTGATTTTGTAAATAGCAGACCTAATGTTGGCTTATCCATGTCTAGGAAAGATTTTCTTGGAGCAAAGAATACTTGGAAGCAACAGCTGATCCCACAAGAATCTTCTCAGGAAATTGTGTCAACCCCTAAAGAAACCATAGTGAGGAATTCTAATGAGAAACTGATGTCACTAGATAATTCTCTGCCTAAGCTTTCTGTACCGCAAAAAACTATTAGCAAGGATTCTACTAGGGACTGTGCGTCTCATCTATTTGATAGTGAAGATAGTACTATAAAAGTTGATACTTTTGCTCTTTCTGAGGCTTCGGCTTCAGCTTCAGTTTCTGATGAACAATGCACAAATGATAGTACCAATAAAGCCGATGAGGATGCACAGTTTCAGCAGAAGACAATGTCTGTCATGCGGGGTGGTGAAATGGTGCAGGTAGGTTTTTTTTTTTTAATTTATTTATTTTAATTTATTTATTTATTTATTTTTTTTAAATAGATTAATTGTTTTGCATGTTGTCATGATATGTAAGAGTATTATATCTTATCCTTTGAGTGTTTTGCGTGTATCTGTGTAGGTAAGCTACAAGGTCTATATCCCAAAGAAAGCCCCCGCATTAGCCAGAAGGCAACTGAAGCGTTAATTCAAATATCCATAGTGCCGCTGTAGTTTGGGTTCCTCTTGCTGATATTGAATTGAGCAGGCAAGTCATGAACAGAATCTGATGGACTGATGATACACAGAAACAGGTTAAATCTTCGAATGGTCTCTTTAAATTTTTCGTTTTCTTTTCATGTTGAATGATGAAGGTCATTAGCTGTCTTACTAACACTCCCTTCATTTTGAACTGCTGATGATTTTGTTCTCTTGTTGTTACCTGATGTTGTAACTTTAACTTTAGTGTCTAGACTAGAAGTTATGAAAGCTCTCTGAATTGCATGGTAGCGGTATGAATTTGGCAGGAAAAAAAAAAATGCTCTACTGGTACAATCTTGTAAAACAGATAGTGGAATTGTGTCTTAATTCAATAATATTTCTCCCCATTTCCTTTTACTGTCTTTTAGATATTTTTGTCCAATCTTGGCTACTGAAGGTTGGACCTTGTGTGAGTAATTGCAGTTTGTACAATGAGTATTTTTTTGCCAATTCAGTACAGAATTATACCTGCAAATGGTGTGGCCCGATCAATACTTTGATTTTTCATCAAAATTAGTCGAAAGCAGTACTCTAAAAATTCATCCAGTGTGCTGCACTCTAATTCATTGAATATGGCTTTGAATAAGAGGAGGGGATGATTTTAGATTTGTACCCGCCGCGGCGGGATGGGGATAGATTTTGGACCTGTCACATGGATGGGGAAGAGAATGCTAGGTGAGGATGGGGATGGGGATGGGGTTGGGGGTGGAAAAGCCAACATCCCCCACCCTTTCCCTCCTCATAAACATCCCTACTTAGCCTAGATTCTACACCAATTTTTGAGCTCAATGTAAAAACTTATTACAAGAGTAAAGAATACGTTCATACAAGTCAAGTAAGGCTTCAGTCAAAAAACCATATGGTAATTAAGGAGTAATCCAATAATCTTGTACGAGTACTCTGCATGTTATTCATCATCTTACCAACTTTACAACGAGTTAATTTTTTAACACGTTAAAGAGAAATTTTTCGGCATATGTACTTGCGCATTGACATCCTGAGCACGGTCAATTGTGAAAGTATCATACAAGGCGAGATGACCCAGGCAAAAATTTCAATCATATGATCAAAGTCATGCGTAATTCATTCATAGTCACACCAATTAGTTTAAATCCCTTGCAATGCACGATTTTTACTTAACCGAATTATGATTTACAATGTTAATTTAACAATAATTTTTTATAAAACAAATCAGCATTTTAATTGAAACAAATACTTGAATTTCTTTTTTTTTTTAAAAAAAACTTAAATTTTACACTTCGTATTATATTGTTAGCAAAAGTAATTGATTATTAAACATTAAAAAAAAAAACACAATTTCAATGATTATAGGGTTTTATATGAGAATGAAATTTATGTTAATTATAACCCGTGCAATGTAATTATATAGCCTATAGGGGTGAGCAAAAATTCCGGGTACCCGGAATTAGAACTGGGACCGGTTAGGAACCGACGGGTCCGGAATCGGAATTAGACCCAGTGGTTCCAATTCCGGGTAATAAATTAAGGACCCGGCTATAACCAATTCCAATTCTCAACTTTTTGGAACCGGAACCGGTTGGGTACCCGGTTACCTAATATATGCTAAACTAAATAAATTTTAAATAATAAAAATATGTTGAATGTATCTGATTTGTAAATTAAAAAAATATTATCAATACCTAACATAAATACAAATAACTTAATGCTAAAAATGAACCTAACTAAAATAAGAATTATAATTTGTACTTCCTCCGTTTTTATTATTATTGCACCATAGGGGTTGGGTACAAATAGTTTGGTAGTGGAAAAAAGTAAGAGAGAGAAAGGTAAAAATACAAAATTGTCCATGTGACATATTAATAAACTAAAAAGTAAATGTGAAAAAGCAAGGGTATGTTGGGTATTTGTAGTGTGAACACAAATAATTTTTTTCCTAAAGAGGAAATGGTGTAATATTTGTGAAACTTCCTAAAATGGCAAGTGGTGCAATAATAAAAGAACGGAGGAAGTATTATATTTTAACAATTACATACATAAGTGAGTACCCGGAACTAGAACTGGAACTGGTACCCGGTGGTTCCAATACCAATTCCTAAATTTTAAGACCCGGTTGAACCAATTCCGATTCCGGGTCCGAATTTTAGGACCCGGTTCCAACCAATTCCAAGTCCGGGTCCTAAAATTTTGACTGTGTACCCGGTTTGCTCACCCCTAATAGCCTATATGTCCCTATTTTGTTGGCATGTTTTGACCGACACAATATTTTATAGCATATTATAACTGGCACAATGTTTATACAAATTTAACTGACTTATTTTTTATTGACAATTAATAATCAAGGTTTTTTATTTTATTTTTGTTTTATATTTATATTTCTAGTTATTGAATTTTAGTGTTATTATTATAAAGTAATCAATAAATACATAGTAATAGCTATAGTGTCAATCCTTGTTGAAGCAAAAAAACTTTTAAAGAAAAAATACAATGACAAAGAATGATACAAAGTATGGAGTGGTACATTATTCTAATACATTACCTTATATGTTTGTTTATCATAGAAAGTACCTATTATAAATATTTCGAAAGATATGTAAATAGAATATATTACGTATATAGTTGCCAAATTGAAAATTAAATATTATAGGATATATAAATTAATATAAATGAAGATTTTGTACAAAAAGAAAAAAAAAGAAAAGAAAAAGTGGTGGAAATTTTTTTAATCAGAACATGACAAGTGTAATGTCAGATTCACTTTTAGTACTCCCTCCGTTTTTTTTATATGCATCATTTTCCTTTCATGGATGTTTTTTTTATATATGCATCACTTCTATATTTGGTAAAGTTATACTATATTTTATTATTTCTCTCTCTTACTTAAAACCCCACTCAAATTATTTTATCATTTCTCTCTCTTCTATGTCCCCACTTAAATAATAAAATATCTATTCTCTCTCACATACTTTCTCTTTCATGGTCCCCATCATACTTTTATTATAATAATTTATTCACTCACTCACAATATTATATTTATCTCCTAAAACTATAACTATGTGCATTCTCAAGTGATGCATATAAAAAAAAACGGAGGGAGTATTATGTAATTGATTGTGCCTTGTGAAGAAACTTATCAATCAATACAGCTTGTTTTAATCAAATTAAGGGCCTGTTCATATTTACTTATTTTCAGTTCAGTACAGTTTAGTTCAGCTCCAATCAGTTCAGTTCAGTTCAGTTCAATTCCAATCAGTTCATTTCAGTTCAGCTCCAATCAGTTCAGTTCAGTTCAGTTCAGCTCTTAATTTCCCTCTCTCATAAAATATTCATTTCAGCTTAGTTCAGTTCAGTTCAGCTCCAATCAGTTCAGTTCAGTTCAGTTCAGCTCCAATCAATTCAGTTCAGTTCAGTTCAGCTCCAATCAATTCAGTTCAGTTCAGCTCATTTAAGTAAATATGAACAACCCATAAGCCAAAATTTGAACTACATCGAAAACAATTGGTATACATGCCAACATGACTTTGTTGGCGTTCAACACGAGTCCAAACAATTGGACCCCATGATCCTTAAACCATTCGCTGTGTATTTAAGATGCACTGGATCAACCATACCAACCTATTTATATTTTCTAAAATATTACTTCCTCCGTTTTTAAATTTGCTCCATTTTCTTTTTTTCCGGTCATTTTTTAATACTTATTCTATTTCCTTATTTGGAACTTTTTACAATATTTAATTTATTTCTCTCACCGAGTGGACCCAACATAATTCATACTACATATTTTATTAATTTTATATTCTCTCTCCTCCAATTCTGTTCACTATTTTTGCTTTTTACAATTTTTTATTTTTCCATCTACCCCATTACTTCCCTATTTTATTACTTTTTTCAATTTCTCCTAAAATTCCGCATATGAAGAAATGAAGCAAGTATTTAAAAACGGAGGAAGTAATAGACAATTGAAATAAGAAAATTGATTATCAATAAATGGGATCGCATTTGTAAAGTGTCTTAAGGAAGCTAAATCTGCAACCAATTACATCCAGATAATTTATTTACTGTTTTTTTTTTCCTCAGTGATTCTTATGCAATATATAATTATGAAATGTTGATTAATTTTAAAAGCAATAATAGAAGAACCTTCATTAATAAAATTAGATAGCTGGTGCATGGCCTTTTATAACTAGCTAGATTGGTTGGTCAGTTGAAAGGATCTTAAATGCCGATCTTCCTTTTGATTTTCTCGTAGTAAAGAATGCTTATATAGTTATATATAGCGGTGTCAAGTGAGGTCGGGTGTTCATCACAAACGCTTAAGGTTGGTGCATGTTTCTCATGTGTTATACATGTATGTCACACACACAAGCCTTATAAGACGCGCTTGTTGTGATTGCTCCGAAAGAAGCTATAAACATGGTGCTCCAATTACATTATACTTCTTAATCTACCATCAGATAATATATTGTTCCCCAACATGAGGTATAATCATCACTAACAACTAAGGGACGAAGTCTTAATTTGAACTGAGATCATACACACTTCATCGTAAATTATGTATCCTCTTGCATCATATGCCCCTTTGATACCAAGTTATCAACTCATCATTAGTGGATCCGAAGTTGAAACTGAATTTTCTAGGGTTAAAGATACAATTTTATTGCTATATGTTTTCATAAGGGAGATGACACATATAATGAAACACAAGGGCTCGCTCCTTAATTAATACGAGTATACTATGTGCCTGTTCACATTTACTGAGCTGAGCTGAACATAACTGAACTGATTGGAGCTGAACTGAACTGATCTGAATTGAGTTGAAATGAATATTTTATGAGAGAAGGAAATTAGGAGCTGAACTGGACTGAATTGAGCTGAAATGAATATTTTATGAGAGAAGGAAATTAGGAGCTGAACTGAACTGATTGGAGTTAAACTGATTGGAGTTGAAATTAAGTAAATGTGAACATACCCTAGGGCATTTTCTTCCAAAGATAAGAAATTTCTTGGCTGCTTGGATAGTACCACTCTCATTCGTATTGACTGGGGCGACTTATACAAGTCTTCTTGACAAAGTCGTGGTTCCCTACATACATTGAGTGGTTAGAAAATTCAATGCAACTACATCGATCTAGGCAGGCTGTCTAGTACTTGATCAATAATATATAGATTTATAATTTTCAGTCTTTTGTATACAACTCTTTAGTTTAGTCCTTCTCAAAATCACTTAATAAGTTAGCTCCATAATACATCATTTTGTTATTCCATTAAAACTTTTGTGTTACATATTATTCATTGATCATGTCGAAGGTGACAACCGGGATTCCGATCCCCCAGCAGTCCTATGCTCCTCAGCCTCCGCCGCAGTATGGCCAGCATCAACGTACTAGCGGAAGTTTTTCTACTGGTCTTTGTGATTGTTGCTCTGATATGTCGTCATGTAAGTATTTTAATCATGCAAGGCAATTAAGAGAGTGGGGTTTGAATCATATTTAACAATACTTACTTCTGTAGTCTGTACATTATGATTTGTGTTATGCAGCATAAAACAAAAAAAAAGTGATTCAAACGATAGTGTTAAGTTGTCTAGCTGTTTGAGCATAAAAAAAATAAAAAATAAATAAAAAAAAAACTTCCTCTGCTCTTTTTAAACTCGACCTATAGTTAACATAATTCTTTTATTATGTTTCTGATGCAAAAGTCCAGTCACTCATAGTCAATAAGTAAAGATTATGAAAAGTTGACATATTGAAATTATATATAGGGATAAATCTAACAAAATTTCACCGGGGTGACTATTACATGTATTTGTTAACTATATTATCATAAAAGTTGGTCAAATTAGAGTTTACAAATAATGTTAAAAAGCATGTCAACTTAAAAAAAGAGGAAGTATGAATTTTCTTAAAATAACATAATAGCCAAAAAAATATATATATAAAATTATCATTTTGACTAAATTTTGAGACGGGTACTTGAAATAGAATGGAAACCCCTGTGCAAACTTATCAACTATGGCCAGTGGCGGATCTTGGTCAAAATTATTAGAGGGGTCGGGATTTAAATCTTTTATCTTTCACTAAAAATAATCACTATGTTCTAATATTTTATAAGTAAAATAAGGTTGTTTAAAGTTCATTAGCTAATTTATTTCAACAATTTATTGGGGGCCGGGCCCCTAATGGCCCCGGGGGAAGGTCCCCCTCTGACTATGGCTATCTATAGGCAGAAAATTAAAAAACTTAGATCCAACTGTTTTATCTGTTAAAAATAAAAAAAAAATTAAAAAAAATAAATGACAAGAGCAAGTTGAATGCATATTTATAAATTTTTGAGAGCTTATGTAGAGATAAATTTCATGTTTTCTCTTATACTCTGTACATAAATTACAAGATTAAAAAATAAATTTGGTATTATAAAATAAAAAAAATTCGGATTATATTAAATTAAAAAAAATAAGTTTAGATCAGAAAAAATAGTTCAAATCAGATAAGTAAAATCCAGCTGAACTTAATCAACGCTTTAGTCATGTTCAAAAATCTCTAGCTTTCCCACTGTATACGTCTTGTGCACCATTTGATGTTATCTTTCTTTCTTTTGTTTGTAATTTCTAATTTTTTACAACATATGTGATGTTAGCTGATTTTGATATATAGTTATGAATTTGCCTTGTTCAAAAAATCAGTTCAAAAACTATATAGGTTGCCTGCTCAATTTTATCACCTAACACTCCTAATTCTACAGGTTGCCTAACATGTTGGTGTCCTTGCATCACCTTTGGACGGATAGCAGAGATAGTTGACAGAGGCTCAACATGTAAGTGTACAATATTATATAATCCTTACCACGACCTATGGCTAACTCTAGTACTCCCTCCATCGGGAATTAGTTAACACATTTAAATTGAACTGGTAATGTGACAACTAAATCCGGGCAGATGAAATTAGTTATACTAGCAGTTTTTAGATGATACTAGTAATGTGCAATCTTATTCTTATTATGTATGTTATGGTTATTATTAGTATCAATGTATGTGACAATTTCTCTGATGGATGTGGTACAGCATGTTGTACGAGTGGAACCTTATACACTCTACTTTTATGCTTAACTGGGTGCCAATCGATATACTCGTGCACCTACCGCTCAAAGTTGAAGGCACAGCTTGGAATGCCAGATAACTGCTGTGCGGATCTCTGTTCCCACTGCTGCTGTGAGTATTGTGCCTTATGTCAAGAGTACCGTGAGCTTCAACACCGCGGCTACAATCTTGCACTTGGTAACCAATCTTTCTTTCTCCTATATTACCGTCTTAATTTGTGCATGTGTAGTCCATAATTATGAGGTTGTGGTTGCAAAATACACGCGGTTGATGTGGTTATATCAGAACAAATGCAAGCATGATTATAATCTTTGTCACATGAACCCAAAGGATATTTTGTAGTATAAATTTATACGATCTTGGGTATGTTTGATGAATGATACTAAACAAGTTTCTTCTAAACAATAGTACGAAGTAAATGCACTTGTGCAGTAGTGCTGATATATAATGTTAAGTTTATGAATTTGATGATTGAAAATAAATATTTGTGAACGTATTTAGGATGGCAAGGCAACATGGAAAGACAAAACCCTGGAATCGCGATGCCTCCACAAGTGCCTTCTGGAATGGCGCGGTACTAAGCATTTGCAGTACCAGATTGAAAGGTCTCGGTGAAGTTGGGAGATTTCGTATGTATTACAGATTTACAGACATGTTTAATCATGTAATATGCTATAAGTAAGCAACTTTTTAGTATTATAGTAATGTATTCATGATTAAGGTGTATTTTAACTTCATACACTATTCCAATTATGACATTGCTAAGAATTTTACAACTGCATGATTAATGATTTCTACTTGTTCCCATCACATTAATTTTTTTTTTGAGAAAATCATCACATTAATTAATGTCCAAAACGGGTTCGTTCGGATTTGAGCCATTCGTTTTCATACAAGTTTATGGCATTTTTGTAAGAAAATACAGGGTAAGAGAACAGAATTGATAACTTGTTATAGAGTGTTGAGCTTAGTACTCAAAAATATAAATTCATCATCACATAAATCAATAAACCAAATGCATGATCTTCAAATTTTATTTTCATTATAATTGAACAAAACAGAACAAAATAAAAGACCCTTGAATGTTTCTAATAAGGGAAGACAAATAGTTGAAGTTTAGAGATCATAACTTTGAGAAGTACGAAGTTGAAAACCCACAACAAGGCGATTGTGTTCATTTTCAGCATTTTTAATAGGATTTTGCTAACAAGCGCCCCGGGGTGTTAGATAAGGAATAATTATATTGGTTGAAATAGTATTAAGTTAGGAATGCATGACAAAATCACGCGTTGTTCGGTGTAATTAATGTCAGTTTTACTCTAATATTTTCACTTTTTTATTCTCTTTTCTAGCGCTCTGGGGGCGCTCATTAGAGCTTTTGCCTTTTAAATATGATTGGAAGTAAAAAGGTGTTAAAACCGACCCAACCCAAAAAAAATCTATTCATTTCGAACGGTAACAGATTTGATTTGACATGAGAATTTCTAGATCCAAAACCCAATCAGGTACTGACCTAAGCTCAACCTGAATCCAGATATGACCAGGTATGAACTTAACTCAGCACCTATTTGATCTGCTTTGAACTCAATCCGAAACCAATTTGATCCCACTTGAACTCAAAGGACCCAAAATTGACTCGACAAATACCGATTCAATCTAATCTGTGTTTACCAAAACTGATATTAACCTGACCCAATTTTAACCTGGCCTAATTTTAACTCAACAGTACATTATTTCAAATTAGCCATAATTTTAACCCAACCCTTGATTTTAAACCAACCATAATATTAAACTCAACTTATCACCATTTGTGGTTATCGTCTATCAACTTGTCACTAGTTCATTACTTATTGTCTCACTAGGTATGACACGTCATAGTTAACTTGCTTGTAATGTGGCCTAAGATAAGAATGACATTAGAATTGATTAATTGAGAAAGCTAATACTACGTAATAATTAGTGACACGATATGAAAGATGACACATGAATAACCTAATATCGACCCAATAATCAGGTAATAACTCAATAATTTTTTTAGTTTAAAAATGACCTTATTTGAATACTCAATTTTGATCAACCTGACCAAAATTCAGCCAAACACGAAAAGGATTTGAATCGGAATTGACCCAATACCAAATCAACCTTATCTTGATTAAACTAAACTTAATCGAACCAAAATCAACCGAATTGGAATCAACCCAACCGGACTCAACCCAACTGAAAGTCATCCAATCCGAAATTAACCCGGTCAAAATTGTTTTGACCCGATCCAAATCTACCCGAACCGAATATGAAATAATCTGAAGTTGACCCAACCATGATTCAACAAACCTTGACCTAATCCAAAAGTGAGCTGAGAAGGGTTACAAGGGTAACCTTGACTTGAGCATACTCAACCTGAACAAACATGATCCGTCATGGGTCAACCCAAACTCTATCCGTTTCCAATAGTTAAAATTATTTCTACTGAAACTTTTCCATATCGTTGTAAGTGATTTATAATGTCGGAATTTATAACAAATCATAAATTTAACAATCTTAAAGATAAATTTGCCTATTTCTCCGATGATTAAATTGAACGACCCATTTTCTACCTCTATTTACGAACTCACAGTTACCAAGCTCAAGAGTACAAAGATGAATTAACACTTTGATCTCATTACACAAATCACCAAGATAAGAGTAGAATATGATAGAGCCAACTAGACCTATATGAGCCCAACAAAATTAAAAAAAATACCCCAATATAAAACTTTATGGTTTAAATTCATTCATATTATATCATCAACCAACCCTCACCAAAATCCAAAATCTTCCACGCCGTTCATCATACTCGTCAATCAACCGCCGTAAGCGATGGCAGAAGGCCAACACACCACCGACGTAATCACCGGAGACTCCGAATCGCCCCCACAACACCAACAGAACAACCCCTTCTTCTTCTTGTCTCTTATTCCTAAGTTTTTGTTAAAACCCTTTGAAAATAAGGGTGATAAAAATGGGAAATCTGTGAAAAAGGTTGATGGTGAAGAAAGTTCTGGAAGTAATTCTAAAGCCCCAGATGTTGTTAGGTTTCCTGGGTCTAAGCCTGAAGTTTCTCCATTGAAGGTTGAACGTGAAGATGCTCAAGAAGATACTAATCCCTTAATTCTTTGGCAGGTATTAATTTTTCTGTAGTTTTTGATTTATTTGTATTTAATCTGTTTCTCATGTTGTTTTTTGGGGTTTATTTTGGTTAATTTGTATTTTTGGGATTTGGGTTTTGTTTATTTATGCAATTAGACTGAAATTGTGATCAAGGGTACTGTTGAATTTGCGTTTTGAGTAGAAATGATTAAATTTTTGAGTTTAGCTTTGTAATTAGACAGAGGTAAGAATGTTTACTTTTTTTGATGTGATGAGAATTTCATTGCTAATTTGATTGGATTACAGTTGTATAATAAATGAAAATGATTGTTGAATTTCTATTGGATATATGGTTCAATTGGAGATGAAAATTCTTAGGTGATTTGTTTTTTCGAGGATTGATGGCCTTGTTGAGTAGTTGAATTCACTAATAGTCGTGTTGATAGTGTAATTTGAATTCATAATGTGACAACTAAATTCGAATGGGAAGGTATGAAAGGTTAATAAGAAGCTAATGTATCTTTTTCTTAATGGATATGCAAATTGTATGGGTGCGAGCACGTGACAAAATGATATCTAGTTTACTTGATAAGAATCTTTGGGGTTACTCCAAATGTACGATGATTTGGAATTTGAAATCTATTTGCAATGGTTTTTAATGCATCATGTTAATTAAAATGTCGGATGCTTTATACCAAGAAAATGTGTTGAATATGGAGTATTTCGTAATATGTATATTGGTGTTGAAGCTTGAAAATGGACTGAAGTTTGTATGGTGTACATTATGGGAGCTGTCAATTAAATGAAGTCCACAATAGAAGCTGTACTCTAGACCATAAATGTGTTGGTTTATAAATTACGATAATTGATTGCCACGTAAACTTTCTTTTTGGGAAGTTTTTATGAAATCAACTGCAAGTGCTCTATGTTCTAGAAAAGAAAGGTGGTGAGGTATAATGCTCACCTATTTTCTAGATGTCATGCGTCGTGACTTAAATGATGGGTATTAGTGTTCTATCACTCTAGTTTATGCCCTTGGTTTTTAAGAATCTTTGTGCTCTTTTCAGGCTTTGTTCTTTTCACTATATGTATAGTTTTCATAAAGGTATCTCAAGTTATGTTAGTTGTGAATTTGGCTTACATGGGTAGCAGTATCTATACTATCCTGAAACTTAAATTGTCCAGGTGAAAAGAAAAAAGCATAAGTATTACGGACTTGACAGCTTTGTCTAATTCTGTATGGCAATATATTGTCTTCGACAGTCTATCTATATAACTTTTGTGAGACAGACTAGAATGACTCTTAACATTTTCTTTAACGGTAATTTGTTATGATTAGTTTGTTTGAAACTGTCTCATCCCAGACCTGCTCATGAATCCTGATTGTTGGAATTTGCAATTTGGTTGTCTAATATTTAGTTCTAAGCTCTTTGGAAAATAAATGTTTATTAGTAGTTTGAGATCAAAGTTGATCCTTTGAATTCTTTGACAGATATATGCTCTTGGTGGATTCATCGTGTTGAAGTGGGCATGGGGAAAGTGGCAGGAAAGGAAGGCAAACAAGGGCTCATCTGGTGAAGATCAACCTCCAGCTTCAGATCAACCTCCGGCTTCAGCTCCTGCTCCAGCTGAGGATTAGTCTTTTTTTCTTTGTAATTTTGCATTATCAGTGTTACTATTAGTCTTTTGAATTTATAGCGATCTTTCTCAATTGTGAAGGCTTTCGTTTTCGTTAAATGAAAAGATAAAGTTGCACTAGCAAAAGGGAGAGGAACAAATAAAGACTAACCCAATCCAAGAACAGATTCTCTAATAAGTTATAGGAAAAGGCAATTGACATTATTCTGGGTTTTAAAACGACCCTGCTTTTCAAAATAGATACTCCGTACTTGTAAATGTGTGATTCTCAAAATGATGTCCACGTAAAATCGGGTAAAATCAATTCATTTTGGGCATTAAGAAGAACCACCAATGCCATTGGCATTTGTAATCCCTCTACTTTTCTTTTAATGACTATTCTCCTAGCACCTTCTTGACTTTCTTGTATTCAAAGAGTCTACATATCGGTCGTAGGCAGATGACTAGCAATGGGATACTTGTCTGAATATTTAGTCGCTTGAGAGGGAACTGCGAATATCATCCATGGTTCTAACTTGATCATAGCATTATGGAATTGGGAGTACTTGGGATGCGCGATCGTAGTTCTCTAGTATCTTATGCTTACGCGTTAAGCTTTTCTGGGGTAATATAAAAGGCTAATGGTGTGTTCTTACAATTGATAAACATGTTGTCTTTCCAATGGAAGGTGTATTTTTGGGTTGGTTTTATGACTGAGTAGTGAATACTCAGATGAAGAAGATTTTTAATCGTATTTTTTTTTCACTTTTTTTTTCTTTTTTTTTTCTATTTTTTTATTTTATTTTTTGTACAAATGGTCAATACTCTCCCTAAATAATAATCTGTATGTCACATCTCACATTTAATGGGTGAATGAGTGTATTCATGAAACCTGTTTTTTAAGATTTGTTTAGGATGCTTTTGTTAGATTTGCAACTCTTTTTAAGTAGAAAAGTGCTAATAGTTGTCTCATTTCATTGGTTATTTTCATTTTTTCTTCATTTTGTAAGGTGCAAAGAATCTTCTTTGTATAATTTTATCATTCTTTTCAGTAGGTACAAGTCATTGTCCATTATACACTGTATGAGGCTTGTAGGACTGCATATTTAATATCATTTTTGATCACGCATTATCTTCTAAGAAAACACACATTACTTAGCTTCAATCTGAAAAAATGGAATTGGGAGCAATACTATCTGTCGTTCAAACACTTTTTTCTGCACTCCAATGTTCAGAGCTGAAAGAGATTTGTTCCATCTTGGGATACAAATCTGAACTCGATGATCTCCAACGCACCATCTCTACTATCAGAGCTGTGCTTCGTGATGCAGAGGCCAAGCAAGAGCTGTCTGATGAGGCACAGCTCTGGATTCAGGAGCTCAAGGATGCGGTGTATGATGCTGATGATCTGCTTGATGAGTTTGTCACTCTCGCTGAGCAGAAGCAACATCTCAAGGGAGGGGAAGTCTCCAAGAAGGCTCGCCTCTTCTTTTCTCGATTCAATCCTCTTGTTGTTGCTTACAATTTGTCTCGTGGGGTCAAGAAGGTCAGGAAGAAGTTGGATTCTGTTGCCAGTAATCACAGGCAGTTTGGTTTTTGTGTTGATCATCAGCCTATTAGGAGGAGAAGAGAGGAGACTTGTTCTTACGTGTATGCAGGTACTATTATTGGGAGAGAGAATGATGTCGAAAATATTGTGCATATGTTGCAAGGTAATGTCCAAGGGGCTGTATCATTTCTTACAATTGTGGGGATTGGGGGGCTGGGCAAAACAGCTCTTGCTCAGCTTGTTTTTAATGATGAAAGGATTGTAAACTCATTTCCGTTGAGGATGTGGACTTGTATCTCTGATCATGATCAGAAACAGTTGGATACAGCAGAAATTCTTGTTAAAATTCTGGCTTCTGCTACTGGTCAGAAGGATGAAGGATCCACCATGGATTGGGTGCAAAGCCAAGTTCGAGAAAAATTAGCTAGCAGTAAATTCTTACTTGTTTAAGATGATGTATGGACTGAGAATCGGAGCCACTGGCTTAAATTAGCAGAGTTTTTGATTGGAGGTCATAAAGGAAGTTGGATAGTGGTTACTACACGCTCACAGGAAACAGCAAGAATTATAGGAGATGGTCTAAAGTATGAGTTGCAAGGCTTGTCTGAAAAGAGTTCATGGCGTTTGTTTCAAAAGACGGCATTTGGATTTGAACAGCCAAACTCTAAAGATGACTTGATTGAAGTTGGTAGAGAGATTGTCAAAAGATGTGCCAGAGTCTCTCTTGCTATAAGAGTGGTCGGAAGTCTTTTGTATGGTCAAGACAAGAGCAAGTGGCTATCATTTATGGAGATTGGATTTGCTAATGTTAGAGAGAGCCATAATGATATCATGCCTATACTGAAGCTTAGTTACCATCATCTTGAATCTCCATTAAAGAGTTGCTTCAGCTATTGTGCACTGTTTCCCAAGGATTTTGAGATACAGAAGGAGATGATAATTAGCCTTTGGATGGCACAGGGCTACATTGTTCCATTAGATGAAGGTCAAAGCATGGAAGATGCCGCTGAGGAATATTTTTCAATTTTGTTGCGTAGATGTTTTTTCCAAGATATACAACAAGATGGACATGGTGAGATCACCTCATGTAAGATCCATGATCTTATGCACGATGTTGCTCAAAATGTAGCTAGCAAGGAGATCTGCAGAACAATTTCCACCACTAGCATTGTGGATAACAGAGTTCGACATCTAACTCTGATAAGAAATAAATCTGCAAAATACTCTTTTATGAAGACCCGCATTCGTTCATGTCTTCAAGTTGGCTTCGGGCATTGTACCAGGATGGATCAATTTGCTTTGGGGGCCTTACTGGCAAATTGCTTGTGCTTAAGGGCATTGGACCTTAGTAATTCAAATATTACATGTCTGCCAGACTCAATAGGCGAGTTGCTACATTTAAGGTACTTAGATCTTTCACATAATGTTTTCTTGAATGTGCTTGCTAAGTCAATTGTGAAATTGCATAATTTGGAGACTTTAAAGCTAAAATGTTGCTATAGATTGAAAGAGTTGCCCAAAAATTTGAGCAAGCTGATCAAACTCAGGGTCCTGGATATAGAGGGTTGCTCTTATCTGACTTGTATGCCTGGGGGTATGGGTAAGCTGACTTACCTTCACACATTACCTCAATTTGTGTTGGGTGAAACAAGCTCAAGTTGGAAACAGTGGGCTGATCATCTAGAAGACCTAAAAGCTCTCGAAAAACTAAAAGGTTCTCTAATAATTAAGGTTCGGCTTCCCAAAAATGGACCAAAAGATATGGAAGATAGTGGAAGGAAAGGCAGATACTTGAGGAGCAAGAAGCATCTCAATCATATAAACATTAGGTTTATGAGTAACCAGGAGGTTGATGGAACAATGGGTTACGAGGAAGTATTAATGGAAGAGCTACAACCACATCCTAATCTCATGGCATTAGAGGTTTCAGGATACAAAGGTGTTAGAATGCCAGGTTGGATGACCTTTCTCCCTAATCTTGTCAGAATAGAACTTTCAGAGTGTGAGGAGTTGAAGAACCTTTCTTGTTTGGGAAACTTGCGTCATTTAAAAGTCCTCGATCTTGAAAACCTGCTAAATTTGGACTGCATTGAAAATAGTACAGCATCGGTAGCTTGCTGTAATCAACCAGTTTCAGCATCAGTTGGGTTTTCAAGTGCAGAAGGATTTTCATTCTTTCCCGCCCTTGAAAGACTTCGATTGTATGATTTGCCAAAGTTGAAAGTATGGTGGTTGGAAGTGGGAGCTGATCATCTTCTAGTTGGTAGCACCAGGCTGGTGCAATGTCCATTACTGAGTTTATCTCAATTGAAAACACTGGTAATACGCAGATGCCCTGGCTTGACGTCTTTCCCACTGTGTCCTATGGTGGAAGATTTAAATTTAATGGGTTTTAATGAAGGACTGCGAATAATAATGAGAGTGATAGATGCCCAAAGGGATAATAATGGAGAGCCAACTAGTACTCCCTCATTCCCTTATTATCATCCATCTTTGCAGTTTGATCCTGGAAATTTAAGCCATTGCATTCCCAGATTAAGGGTGATTAGAATAGACAATGTCGCATGGCTGAATTCATTACCAATGGGGGCTTTTATGGGTCTTACCTATTTGGACATTAACTGTGACAAAGAGGTTGAGAGTTTGGAAGAAGTTGAGGAGGTGATTCAGAGTTGTTCATCTTCCCTGCAGTCCTTGTGTATTGAAAATTGTCCTAAATTGAAGAATATTTTTGGAGGATTAGAGCATCTCACTGCCTTGAAAAAGTTATATATATCCAGCACTCCTAATTTGAAGATTTCAGATGTTAGAGAGGATGGTAGTGACACTGGCATGCCATGGTTGTCCCTTCCTCACAATCTTCGCTCCTTGCAAGTGAGGGATCTTCCACAGATGGTAGCTTTGCCAGAGGGATTGCAGTATTTGACCGCCCTCCAAGCTCTTCAGATTTCCGGCTGCAAAGGTCTGGCATCACTGCCGAATTGGATGCCCAAACTCACATCCCTTGTTCAACTTGATGTTCATAACTGTTCAGTATGCCTCAGAGAAAGATGCCAAGACCCAAGTGGGGAGGATTGGCCTAACATTCAACACATCCCCTGTGTTGTATTCCTTTAAGAAGAATATACTTGAGCCCTGTGATTGCAGTATAGGCACGCTCCCAATCCTCAGCAGCGGGCAACTGTAGCCTGTAGTGTGCGGGTGGATCTATTCATCTTAGCCATTGTTACTCTTAGCTTGTAATCCAATCTGCAAAAAGTATGATTTTTAAGGAAAATAAATCGGAAACAATAAGAAGCTAGTTCTGCAGCTTCTGTGTATGAATTGATAATTTTGTGTACATTTTTTTTTCCCTAGTGCTCAAAGATATGAATAAAACTGGAAGAAGCAAACCCTTAAACTAAGTCTTCATCAGTATGTCATCATGATGTTTTACCTGGCCCCTTAGGCAAAGGCAAATATGTTTATTTTAGCATGTTCATGTATTTCAAAAATCAGTTTGAGAGGCTATAGTATATACCTTAATTTCTTACTTGCTTCACTCATAAATCATACCTTGGTAATTGTAGTATCTAATGTCATGCATAAAGTTGCTAAAACATTTAAAATATAGTCAAATGGGGTTTTCTATAGTCTTTTGCTGTGTTTAGAAATGTAAAAATTTTACACTACTTAAAGTCAGCTACATTTTTAGATCTGTTTTGTTTTAGTATTTATGAAGCATCCATTAATAGCAAGTTAACAATTTTGCTTGTTTTCATATTCAAGTTGAAATTTATTAAATTAAGATAATGGGATTTAAAAAAAAAAAATGCAAGTTGTTGATAGTTTGGGGTTTTCATTGAGTAATCTTCCTGATGGCTAAGGAGTAATTCTTAGTTTCTCATATGGGGAATTGACCTATTGTTTATATAACATAGAGCTGTTTTTCAGTGTTCAGACTAGGATCTTCTCTTGATATCTTCATACTTAATGGTCAAAGTAAAATGGAATCCAATTTCTTCATGCCTTCGTAGTGTGTGAATTTCCCTTCTGTCTTTTGTTTTCTTGATTGGGAAGTTCTTATCATGTTGTATTGAATTTTAAAATCACACACTGGCTCATCACATCTTGACTATCATTTTCCTTTAGAGTAGAATTGTGAGCTTTGGCCTTCGAGTTGTTTTGTTCAAGCATATATTTGATGATATTGATTGAAATTAGTTGCTTCAAGTTGCATTCTTTCCCTTAGCTTTCACCTCTCAGTGTTAGTGTCGATCCAGCAAAGTGCTTTTTCTAGTGTTTTTTTAGATCTCATGTGTAATTTATTGCATGAATTCTTGATTAGGTTGCCAAACAAGTGTGCGTAGCTTTGATCTCTCTATATTGTAGATTCTCAGATTAATAGAGGTAATGAGTTTTCTTACAGTTACTTCTCTGACATGGGTTTTCTGGGTATGGTTTGCTTGTTCTGTTCCTAGATTTGAAGCATGTAATCATACTGATTTTGTCGCTCTGAAGCAACTATTCAGTAATTACACAAATGAGAAAATAATTTTAGCTTGGGCTGACACCCCTAATTGCTGTAAATGGGATGGTGTCACTTGTAAAACTGACAATAATGCACCAGCTGCAGGTAGAGTGAGTAAGTTGATTTTACAGAACAAGGGTCTTAGAGGAGCAATATCGCACTCCATTGGTCAATTGGACGGGCTGGAGGTTCTTGATCTTTCTGGAAATCACCTAGAAGGTGAATTGCCTATTGAGTTTTCTTATTTGCAGCATCTGGTTTTTCTCGATATTAGTCAGAACAAGCTCTCAGGATCACCTCTGGTGGCATTTTCTGGTTTGAGAAATATACAATCACTAAACATTTCCAGCAATCTTTTCAATGGACCAGCTCTTGATTTTGGGATCCTCTTCGATAACATGGTTGTGTTTAATGTTAGCAATAATTTGTTTACCGAACAAATTAATCCCCATATTTGCAGTTCAAGCAAAATCAGGGTAATTGACATATCAATGAATTATTTTACTGGTGTGCTTGACAGCTTGGAGAACTGCACATCGCTTCAGCAGTTGCATGCTAATTACAACTTACTAAATGGTGATCTTCCGAGCTTTATCTATACCATAACTTCATTGGAACAGCTCTCAATCTCTGCTAATAATTTCTCTGGCAAGGTCAGTGAGGCAGTTAGTCAGCTCTCTAACCTTAGAACCTTAATTATTTCAAACAACCGTTTTTCAGGCCCTTTTCCTGATGTTCTGCATAACCTTACAAAACTGGAGCAATTAGTTGCACATTCAAATTATTTCACTGGGTTCTTGCCTGCAAGCTTGTCTCAATGCTCCATGCTTCAGGTGCTTGATCTGAAAAACAATTCTTTCGAAGGCAATATTAACCTTGATTTCACTGGACTAACAAATCTCAATGAGCTTCATCTTGCATCAAATAATCTCAATGGTACCATACCAACATCACTTTCTAGCTGCAATAAGCTGAAAACATTGAACCTTGCTAGGAATGAGTTAATTGGTGAATTCCCCTATGGTTTCAGAAATCTTTCGTCTCTTTCAATCCTCGCTTTGTCAAACATCAGTTTGATGAACTTGTCAAGAGCTTTAAACACCCTGCAACTTTGCAAAAATCTTTCGATTCTTATTCTTTCGAGGAACTTTCATGGTGAAGAAATTCCAACAAATTTGTCTGGATTTGATAACTTGAAGGTTCTGGCACTTGGAAATTCAGCTCTGCATGGTGAGATCCCTACTTGGTTGCTGAATTGTGGAAAGTTAGAAGTGCTTGATTTGTCATGGAACCGCTTAAGTGGCAATTTGCCATTATGGATTGAAAAGCTGGAGCATTTGTTTTACCTGGATTTATCAAATAATTCTCTCTCAGGCGAAATTCCGAAGACCTTGATGCAGCTAAAAAGCTTGATCTCTTCAAGTGACATCTCATCCAATCCTTTTACATTCAACACTATTCCATTATATATAAAAAGGGACCATAGTCCTAGCTGGTTGCAGTACAATAAAATTTCTGGTTTTCCACCATCCATATATTTGAGCAACAACAGGTTTAATGGTATTATACCGTTAAGTGATCGGAAGGTTAAAACAACTCCATGTGTTAGATTTGAGCGGGAATGACATAACCGGAAATATCCCTGATACACTATCAGGTTTGCAGAGCCTTGAAGTATTGAATTTGTCCTTCAATGATTTGCATGGATCAATACCTTCATCACTTAATAGTCTCACATTTCTTTCGAAATTTAGTGTGGCACATAATCATTTACATGGGGAAATACCTGTAAGTGTGCAGTTTCAAAGTTTTCCGAACTCAAGTTTTGAGGACAATTTAGGTCTATGTGGATCAACTCAAGCTCCTCCGTGCACCATTGCAGACAATGTAAGTGGTGGCCAAGATGTTTCTTCTGGATCGAACAATAAATTTTGTCTAAGTTGCATCTTTTGGATGTTAAGCACAGCAGGTACTTATATCTGCTTGCTTTTATGTAGCACTTAGCAGTTGCTTTATGTATTACTCTAATTTTGAGTTGTGATATCTAGAAGCTCTCAAAGGCAGAGCATAGTACTATTTATATGACATTGTTGCAGTATATTGAGTAATGTTATGAATTTGAAGCTTTAACAATTGCAGGAAACCATGAATTGCTTGGCCGTAACCATAATCTAATGATTGATAGCCAACTATCCCTGTGAACGACAAACATGCATAGGTTAACTTACAAGCTTGTATTATTGTTAAACAAGTTACAAGTAGAGGTTTTTTTTTTCCTCTCAAACAAATGTTACATTTTGAGTTTACATAATAATATACATAAGAATTCTAGAGTAATTAATAACACTGCCTGACTACAAAAACAAGAGTTAGTTCTCACTAATACCTCCTTCAGTTATGGGTGTCAAAACTTAGAATTATAATCCCTGCCATATAACATGCAACGCTTCATTATATCTCAATGAAACATACAGAATCGCTGCTCTTGTAATGGTTTCTTCCTCGTTGCAAAACTCTTGCTACAACCAATCTTTCACTTCTATTCATATTTTTAGCGGCTACATTCTGCAATCAAATCCCATTCTTCTTTCTTCCCTGTATGCAAGCCCAATCTTCCATTTCTGAGACTGAAATGTCTTCCAAGAGCAGAGAATATCGCTGTATGACTGATGGAACCTGCATCAAATTCAGCAAACCAGAAGTTGTAACTTTTAAAGATCTCCAAAATGCTCTTTTACCACTGGTTTGTAGCCATTCACAGGAAAACTGCACTGAAATCATTTAAATAATTACAAACAAATCAATTATCAAATTTTTCTCAAGTAATTATTACTTGCTGGCTGCTGCCATTAACTCTCAAATTATAATGGCTATAATTTAACTGGCAGTGGGCCATGTTTGTAATTAGAAGCATTTTTAACATAGTTATTTAACTTTTGTTTAACCTTTACACTTTGTTTGGATAGAAAGAAATGGAAGGAAAAGAAGAGAAGAGAAAGAAGGGGGGGGGGGGGGTGGACAAATTCTCTTGTTTGGGTAAAGGATTGGGGGAAGGAGAGGGAGGGGTCCATTTTCCCTCTCTCTTTAATTAGCATAATCCCTCCAAATTCGGAGAGATTTGGAGGGAAAATGGAGCTCACCTCCCCTCTCCCTTTCTTTTCCCTTCCATTCCTCCTTTTTCCCTCCCCTTCCATTCCTTCCTTCTTTGCTATCCTAACAAAGCGTTAATGAGAGGTAAATTGGCCTTTTTGTTATAGACTACTAAGACTAGGTTAGCTGCTGTAAATATTATAATTTGATTGTAAGATTAACAAGAAAGCTTGAGTCTTTTTAATTGAAACTAGCAAAAGGTTACAAAGATAAATATAACTTTAGGCTATAACTCTCAATGGTAGCTTGAGGCTACTAATCTCACATTCAAAATATCACTCAATTTCTGCCTAACTTCCTACTGCTACCCTATTCTCTTATATATACTCAAGCACTACCATAATCCTAACATTAATGTATTTTGGCCCCATTATATTGGAGTATCTCAGGTCTGCTATTTCATGTTGCCTCCTCTCCTAGTGGAATGTTAATTGCATTTGTCTCCTAGTGAATAGCTGTCCCCTCCTTTTCTGAGTCTACAAATTGTCTCTCATTGTTGGTTCATCACACTTTTACAAAAACACAAAACCTTGATCTTAACCAGTACTTCACTACTGATATCGTTCTTTATGTGTTTAGTAGGCCTTTTATTTTCCCTGCTAAACATTGCAGATTTGACCATCTGGCACAACACTGGGTCACAATTTTAATACTGCTATAGTCTCAAGGACAAAGATATGTGGAGTAACAGATATCTAGCAGCATCTTCTTCTAGTCTACCACAAATTAACCAAAGATGGGAAAGGAAAAACAATAAACTCCATTTATGTTCTTCGCAGTAAGTTCAAAAGGCTTGAGATTGGTAAGTTGGTAAGTTACCTGTTCATGTATTATACCAGAGAGACCAACAGTTGCTCCTACTTTAGCATGTGAAACAATCTCATCTGCCAATGCCAGCAGTGGATTTAACAATATATTTGCAATGACTATGTCATATTTATACGTGTCTATTTGATCTACAGGCAATCCCTTAGCACAGAGATCTTCATGCACCTTTTCATCCACCAAAGAAGCACTGTCTTCTGAGGGAACTAGACACAACTTCAATTGCTCAGGTTCTATATTGTTCAGTTCAGCATTCTGACGAGCAGCTGTTATTGCTTGAGGGTCAATATCAACTCCTACTGACAAAGTACCCCCCAACTGCAACCAACAACAGAAAGACATTGTTCAGAGCTATAGACATAATGAATCAACAAAATCAATATCAACAATAAGTCGATCATACATTTACAATCTCTACACTTATAATTTTAAGAATATCACCCAGCACTAGCCCTTCCCAAAAATTCAATGTCAAGCTTGTTTGTAAGCAAGATACTGAGAGACAATCTACAAGTAGCTCAAGATAAGAGTCAAATAGAAGGTCCATTTTTTTAATGCCCTATCCCTCTCTAATTACTATGCTCTTCTCTCGGATCAAGTATTCGTCTTCTCTTTTAAAATTGTGTAAATGCAGTTTCTTGTGAGAATGGATTAACGCCTATGCATTAAGACGTATTTCAGTGAAGATTACCCTACAATAGTTTTTGAAAGTTTTGAACAAAGGAATAAGATCTTCAACTACATAGACCATTTAGCAGCAAGAAAGGGGGAAATGAATGTTAAAAAGACAACACTACCCTTACTAAGGATGAGGAGAGAGATGGGAGTGGGGTCATTCAAGGGAAATTTGAAAGTCTATAATTTTTGTCATAATATACCTACCAAAAAAGGAAATGGTGAAATTATTATACTCCCTCCGTGTTTTTTTAAGTGTTACAGTTTGACCGGCACATAGTTTTAGGCAATTTAATTGACTTAAATAAAATAAGAGGTAAGTGGGGTAATTGGAGTATTAAAAAATTGTAAAAGAAAGAGAGTGGAGTTAATAGTTTATTGAAAAGTAATAAATGTGAGAGGAGAGATATAATTAATAAAAAAAAAATAGTAGTGGATTTGGGTGGGGATCATGAATGGAGAGAGATATAATATCTTAATGTAGCTTTTTGCCAAAAATGGAAGTGTAACACTTATTAAAACACGACCGGATTTGGTAAGTGTTGTTTCGGGGTTTTCTGATGTCCTGCGGGAGAGTTACAATTCCGAGACTGGAACCGGACGCCTGTACCTGCAAAACAAACGGATGCTCCGGATGATTGGAGATCCGCCTCCGACAGTCAAGTTAGTACTTGTTTAAGGAGTAATTAATGCGGAAATTAAAGTGATTGGGTCTCTCTAGGTGAGAGTGTTTAATGTGTGTAATCTGCGTTTTTAGCGTGTTTTCTCTTAATGAGGATTAAGGGAGGTATTTATAACCTTGGGAAACGTGCCAATCCTAGGTTTAGGTTAACCTAGGGCTGATTGGGCTTCCCTCGGAAGTTGGGCCTGGGTGGCCGGTTTCTCCATTAGGCATGGAGTATGCCACGTGTCATGACATAATAGGTCCAAGGTGGACGAATAAGCGTGTGCCACGTGGCAAGCCCTGACAGTTCCAACTGGGGGACACTTGGCAGGACCTGATTGGCCCATGTGGCGCATTCCGATTGGTGGGAGCAAAATCCCCTAATCATTTGCCTCTCACAGATGGCACGTGACTGGTCACGTGTTACCTGTGACAGGTGTCGCACTGTAACAGGCGACGGCCTGCTACAGGTGTCACTCGGCGAAAGGCCGAGAGATTCTCCCGCCCAAATTATGAATTCTGAAAGTGACCCTTCGCCTTCTCACTTCGCCTATATAAGGGAGTGTTGACTTCAGTCATTTTCACACGAGAACTTTTTGAGAGAACATTCGGACCCCTGAACTTGCTCTGACATTTTGGACCCTTTCTGCCTACCGCCTGCTGTGACAAGCCGACTGCACAGGATTTTCAGAACTCCATCAACGTCACTCGTTCAGGTAACCGTCGGTTCTCTTACTCTTAATTTTCTCTTTATTTTATTCTTTTTTGAAATGGCACCACGGAAGCACACGACACGACCTAGGTTAGTGATCAGCCGGTCACCGGGGACGGCTGAATCTAGGACTAGGAGTGCCGCCTGCCCTTTTCCGGACCCATCTTTGCCCTTTATACAAAGTCCGACTGTATCTGTGTATATGCAGAGCATGATGGCCAGAACAAAAAAGACTGCCAGGATCTCAAACTCAGACGGCTCCTCCCACAGGGTGCCGATTAGTGAAACATCTAACCAGGCGCCAAATGTGGAAGTGAAACAAAGCGGCTTGAAAGCCGGCAGTTCTGAGGGAGGAGTCAAAGTGACCCCTTCCCATTTTACAGTTGACAATTCTACATTCTCTCCTGCTCCTTTTAAAGGAGAGGAGGCGGGCCCCTCCGGGAGAGGGGAAGAGTCGTCCTCTTCGGACTCGTCAGAGGACGATTCCGAGTCTAGCTCTTCTGGCCATGCTTCCCTGGACACAGAAAAGAAAAACAGTCGCCTACAAGAGGCGAGGCTTTCTCACGCAGTTGAGAAGGGGGACGATTGGGCGGAGCCATCCGCCTCTCACCGAGAGCAAAATACCCCCTACTACTGCACGGTACCCCGGGGCCGGATCACGGCCATGCAAGAGAAAGTGGAGAGCTTTATCGCAAACCACACAATGGGCCCCGGCTTTTTAGTGTTCGTGCCGGATCCAGAAGACACAGTCGTATGGCCGGCTGGCAGTGGCGGACTTGGGCTTAGACCTGGTGGGTCAAGTGACTCACCAGGCCCAAAAAAAAATTTTAAGTTAATTTTTTAAAAAAAAAAAAAAAAAAAAAAAAAATCAGTTTTCCCAAATTCACGAATTCAGTATTTCAGTTCATGGCCTTCAATCCTTCATGCCCTAGCCAATTCGCCTCTTCCCTAATTCCCTTCAAGGCTTCAATCCTTCGCCATCATCAATCACCTATTCACCTCCATAATCGCCTCCTCCAGTCCTCCTCTTCGCAGTTCGCAACTCGCAACTTCGCCTCCATAATCGATTAATCGCCTTCGACCCTTCGTCTTCCTCTTCGCATAAATTCAGGTGAGGTTAGTCTTCCTCTTCGTCTTCCTCAGTTAGTCTTCATCTAAATTTGTTTAATTGTTGATATTTGATAACTTGATAACTTGATTGTACTGATTATTGTTAATTGTTAATTTTGTTATATATTGTTGTGATTTTGTGAATTGTTCAATGAAATTCTGAATGGTGAATTTGTGATGGACTTTTCATTATTTCATTCATATGTATTCTCATTTCCTGGAAATTAGCCTTAGAAAAATTATACTAGTAAAAAACAAAGTTGCTGCCTTTTTTAATGTTTAGCTGTGAATGGTGAACCACTGAACCCTTCAACAGTTCAACTAATCAAATTGATTTTGCAGAAAGGCTACAATCATTCCAAAGGTATCTCTAATTTCTGTATTGTTTTAATTTGTAAGCTCTATTCTAATCAAAATATTTGCCTAAAACGATATATTCAATTTCCATTGTTACCTCAATTTTTTTTTAAGAAAATGATCCATTGTTACCTTTTTGTTTAATAGTTGAAGCTACTACATACTGTAATTGACAAATGGTTCCTTGATAAGTTTTATTTTTGTTTTATCTTCAATAGTTCCTTTATCTTTATTACTACATACTGTAATTGACACTTTAGTTCCTCTTCGTCTTCCTCAGTTCCTCTTCGCATAAATTAATTAATTAACTTAGTCTTCATCTAAATTTGTTTAATTGTTGATAATTGATATTACTTGTTAGTTATGAATTAGTAATACTAAATTTGATTCTTTGAACCCTAAATCCCTAATTGTTCAATAATCAACTCAATTGTTCAATAATCAACTCAATTTCAATAATCCCTAATTGTTGTGATTTTGTGAATTGTTCAATGAAATTCTGAATGGTGAATTTGTGAAATGTTTGACAATTGACACTTTACATACTTGTTCAAGCTGTGATGCTGTGATGCTGGCCTGCTGCCCTGTGAGCTTGTGATTTCAAGCTGTGAAATGGTGAATTTGTTAATTGTTCAAGCTGTGATACTGCCTGCTGGCCTGCTGCTCGCCTAGTCGGCAGTCGCCTGCTGCCCTGCTCCACTGCTCGAGAGTCGAGAGCGTGCTCTGCGCTCACCGCTCTTCGCTTCGTCGCTTCTTCTAAAGTCTAATCTCCTATTCTCATTTTGCTAGTAAGTTGATTTCTAATTTTTAGTTTAAAATTCTAATCTTCAATTTAATCAAGTCTAATTAGTTAATTCTATTAAACTTTGGTTGATTTGTTAGTTGTTCACTTCAAGTCTTCAATCACTTGTTTGTTTGGTAAACTTTGAACCTTTTGTTAATGAGTAATGACCTTAATGTAATAATGTTGTTGGGTTTTAGATGAAATTTGAACCTTTTTGACCATGTGAATATGTGATTATGTGAATTGTGGTTTGTTTGGTAAAATGATCTTTGTAAATAATTTTTCTGGGGAATTTTGCTTGCTTTAGTTGATTATTTATTCAAATTTCAGAATGAAGAGAAAACGCACTCCAAATGAACTGCAAAACATGATCGATTGTGCTTGGTTATTTGTTGATGTACTTGCACCTCTGTTGAACTTTGTGGGGGGTTCACCAAAAAGGAAAGAGTTTCTTCGTGAAAATCAAGCTCAAAGAGTGGTGGATGCTTTGTCTCTAGGTGAACTTGAAACGGGTTCAGGTTTAAATCAAGAACGTGGATTAGGTAGACCTTGTGATACTCGTTGGGGATCTCACTTCAAGACAATCTTGAATGTACTTGACTTATTCCCTGTAATCCTTGGTTCTCTTGAGGATATTGCAAAAGTATCTGATACAATAGATTCTAATAGAGCTCAAACACTTACAAATCTTCTGATGTCCTTTGATTTTGTGTTTGTGGCACACTTGATGGTTAGTATATTTGCGATAACAAATGCTTTGAATGTGGCCTTACAAAAGCACGATCAAGACATTGTGAATGCAATGGCCATGGTTAATGTAACCAAGACTAATTTGCAAAAAATGAGAGATGAAGGATGGGATTCTCATATGGAACAGGTCATTTCTTTTATTGGTGACTATGACATTGCAGTTCCAGATATGGAGGCTAAATATGTTGTTCCCGGGAGGAGGTTGTTTCGAGGTAAATGCCCACAAGTGTCTAATTTACATCATTTTCGAGTTGAAGTTTTTTTTG